TATTTAGGAACCCAAATGGGTTTGGGTTCTACCTTATCATTTAATGAATGAATGTCATACATGTTATGCTGTGGCGCAAATGATTTGGGCTTCAACACAAGATGTGTTCTATGATAAACATTACAGGTGTGGGCTACGTGTCATACCATACCAAAATAATAACTCATAACACCTAAGAATGGGTTTACTAACCTATATGGGTAATAATGCCTCTTCCTAAGAATATGAGATGCATGCTACGTCTTAGGTAGTGATTGTTAATGCATAAGCTCATGAATGTTCTATTGAGATGTATTTAACTTCTTAAACAACTGATTAGATGTAATTTTTTCATTATCTTGGGTAGTTCCCATTATATAAATTAGAAAATAACTTAATAGGTAATGTTTTAGGTGTTGCTAGTCTATTCTAAAGGTGGCTCCTTGTCTATAATGGGCATCGAAGGAAGATATGAGGCTTGAGGAAGCTAGAGCCAGAGATACTATCATTATCTCGGGTGCCCTCATTTCTAGCTAGTTCTAATAATATTTCATTCTTCTCACATTCTAACTCTACTCCCATTTACTCTAATTTCTTAAATTCCTTTTTTAATTCAATGCACTTAGATTTTAAGTATTCATGTGACTTTGTTAGCTCAATATGATTTTCATTTAGTTATCAAATTTAACTAGTAGGGATATATATTCTTTATCTAGTGAAATGTGTTTAGTTTTGAGATTTTTATGCTCCTTAATAATGTGTCATGCATGAGTTTCTATTTAAAAAATCTACTTTTAAACTTGTATGTAATTTCTTAAGTTTTCTATTAGAGTCATGAATATTTTCAGAAATAATAAATAGCTCATCATAGAATAATTGGTATACCTCATCTTAATTAGAATTATCAAGATTATCATTTGCCATAAGGCACAGATTTGTTGCCTCCTCCTCTAGTTCTTGTTTTAACAAATCTAAGGTAGAGTCTGCCCAGAAGGCATTTTGTATTCACTATTTCTCCTTTTTAGCATGTTTTCTTTCATTACCCTTCCTAGCACTTAATTTTTCTTCATTCATTTCCTTGTATGGGTAACTTCTTAAGCTGAGGCATTCAAAACTCATATATATTGGCTTTCTGCATTCAAAATAAATAGTGTCAGAAGAAACTTTGTTAGTTCTGCCTAACTTTCCTTTGTTCCAGTTTTGATGACATATTTACTTTCACTTCAAAAAGCTTTTGAATTGCTAGGTCATTAGTGTTATATCATCATCTCCATCAGCTACAAAGCTGTTGCTATTTGAGGCATTGGCCATCAGTGCCATTATCTTTTCCTTCCTCTTGGCACCTTCATTAAGAAACCTTTGACTCACATTTTATTCATAAGCAATGAGTGAGTTAAGTAGATTATATATAGAGTAAGTATTCAATTATTTTAATTAACAAATAACAATAACTTTAGCATCAAAGAAATCAGGTAAGTAACACAAAATCTTATTGAATTTTTTAGAGTTAGATAATTCTCTACCTAGTGCATGTAATGAAGTTACTATCTTTTATTAATGAGGTTACTTTCTTAGTGAATCTAGTGTACACATCAGTTATTATATCTAGCTCATAGTCATGAAATAAAATATTTAGATAGGATTATTTCACTTTATTGATTCTTTCATAAGTAACAATCAACCTATCCCCAATTTTGTTTCTAGTTATATATGAAGAAACATGCATATAGTCCTAAGATTTTAAATAATAGAAAAAAAATAGCTTAAACATTTAGCTTTCAATTATGCATAGTTTATATCCTCAAAACTCCATTCATTAAAAAGAATCTTTTCTTTGAAGCCATTAATAACATGAGATGGAGGTGTACATCTTACTTGAATCAAATGCCACATATGATAAATAATAGATTGAATAAGTGTAGACATATGCACTTTCTAGAAATTATAAGGTATATTATTAAACATGGGTGGAGTGTAAATAAATATCCTTTAGTTTCATTACAATTATCATTATAATTTGCCATTGGATCTGCGCAAGATTTTTAAACCTAAAATTCTAGAGAACCTACTCTAATACCAATTGATAGTCTAAGGATGGGTTGTCAAACCACTTGAACTGCCCAAGGAAAACCAATAGAGCGGTGAATTGGTGTTTTAAAAATTTCTCTCAAGGATATTCTTTGAAAACTTTAAACCAAATACATAAATGTAAGTGAAAGAATAAAATGTTTTTCTTTTATTTTTTAAATTTTTTATTTTATTTTTCAATAAGATTCAAATTATAATAAAGCTCAATAATCTCAACACAAATTTGTAAGAAAAATAAAAATGATCAAGAAATTGATATATGGAATCAAAAGTAGAATGAGCACACCAGATTTTTTAGTGGTTTGGTGAAAACTTAACCTACACCCACTTCTTGGAGTCCTCCTCTCTTGGTATTAAACAAAATCTTTAGTGACTCTCCTTTACCCCCACAGTAAGGTATAAGAGTCCTTACAAAATATCTTCCACTGACCTGATGTGGCAAAGTACTAAAATCTTTTTCACCCTCCCATTGAGGTAAAGAACCTAGAATCCTTTTCACCCACATGGTGAAGCAGAAAACATGGAATTATTTTTACCCTCCTAGTGAGGCAGAGAATTATTTATCTTTGTCCTTAAAGACTTCACCCTTAAAGTTTCCCATAAGATTAATAATGATACGAAGGAACTTAGGTAGAAGCTTGCTCGGAGAAGCCACATGAAATCCCCTCACACCACTTCTTCCTCACACACAACTTCTCCCCTTCTTCCTCTCAAAACTCTATGATCTCTCAAGAAGACAAAGCTCTCTCAAAGAACTCCCATAAAAATCTCTCAGTAGCCAAATACTTTTCATGATTCTAATATGAAGGCTTAAATACAAGGCTTCCCAAAACTCTAATTTTTCAAGTCAGCTGACTCTGTTCGTATAGTACAATCAAGGATAATATAGTATGATTAGTTCAAAAGCTCCTTTCTTTTAAGTACAATGAACGAGTCCCAATATGATCAATTTAACTATCTCAACTTTATCATACAATACAAATCATTGATCATATGGTACAATTAGTTCATTTACATTTAGTTTTCTAGGACAATGTCTAGGATAATAAACAATTATCTCTATTAATTTTCTAGTACAATTAGGGCCTTAGCTTAATAAATCAAGGTTAATCAAGGATGATCCCTGGGATGATCAAAATTCATCTTTGCCAATCATCTAGTACGATCACCATCATACTATATGATCAAACTCATTAATTAAACCTTAAGTACTGCTCTAACCAGGTCTTAGGGCGAGTCTTTCCATATTCAGATATCATATGATCTATATGATATCGGTTTGGGTTGTGACAATAAATCTTATATATATATATATATATATATATGTCTGTGATGAGGCATAAGCATGAATAGATGAATGCATGTATGAAATAGAAAATGACTAGGGGCCAATTGATGCTTAGATTTTCTTTGATATAAATTGCACACTAGATATATATGTATACATGTCTATAAATTAATAAAGTGATTGAGAAACTATCGATGCTATGAGGAAGTGTTTTACTAGATTGCAATCAAACTAGTTTTGCCTATAGATGGAAGGTTTATGCTTTTGAATGAAAATCTAGTGTTTAAATTATGCCACTTACGAAGAAAAAGTAAGAAGATAGATGAGATACATGATAGTAAAAATATTTTGGACTAATGTATATAAAATAACAAAGTATTCCTAATGAGACTCTTAAATATTGATGTGGATCATAGCATATGCATTCTTAGATCTTTATTAAGCTTGTAGGGGTGAAAAGGGACGTTTATGACCTTCCTAAAATTATAATATTTCCATAGAACCTAAAAGGTTTAACATCCTATTTCTAAGCATGCCAACATTCCATTCACTACTGCTATTGTTCTAATATTTTTTGCCTAGGTAATATGTCATACTAAATATTAACTACACATATGACCTTTGTATGCATTAAATTAATAATTGAAGATATTAAAAAACATCAATAATTTCATTTAAGGCAAAAGAGTTTGTATTAGTACTTGCAATTTGTTTACTATATTAACCCAAAACTAAAAAATTAGCCATACATAATAAAGATAGAAAGCGAGCACATCTTCATTTCTTGCATACAAAAGAAGATACATGATAGATAGTAAATAAAGAAGTCACCCAAGTAGTATAAATGTACTCTCCACACTCCTTTCTCCTCCAAATGGATGGTTCCTCACAATAAGATAAGTTAAGATATTCAAAGAAAAGTATCTCGCTCTTCCTTAGCCTCCTTTAAACTTGTCTTTAAGGGGGCACTATAGAAAAGTATAACTCCACACCATTTTTAGAAGAACCTCAATAAACTTAAAACTAAAAACTATTTATACTAAGTATAGGAATGGGTTCAGTTGCCTTAGCAATTGACATTGTGGTGTTGGGCATCATCAGTGAACTAGTGCCTCAACACTTCTGGCTTGCTCCGCTGCGATGTTGCACTGACTTGGCGCTTCTATTGGCTGAACTGGTGTGTCGTTTGATTGATTCGATGCAGCTCTATCTTTTATCAATCGTTCAACCGCAAACATTACAAAAGTTGAGCGCTTTGACCTGAATGTACAATTCGGTGTTGTGGTGTTGATGCTAGGCGCTCCGACGCTCAAATTCTTGAGACTTAGATGCTGCGACGTGGATTTCTGACGCTGCAATGTTGACCTTAACTCCGCCGTGCCTCTGAATTATTTGCCATTTTTCCCAAGGCTTCGGTGCTGTGATTTCTTGATCTAGCATCGAGGCATTGTAGACGCTGCGACGCTGGTAGTTTAAGCACTGCAATGTTGGTTCAATACTTCAAAATTTTCTCTTTTTTATGAATATTTCTTATACAACATCAACTAAAATACTACATTTTTATTGATTTTTAAGAAATAAAATAATACAAATTTACACTTAAAAACTACAAATTTTTTTGGGAGGAAACATTCTAATAAACAAACTCACATATCAGCAAGACAGCAATACGCACCCAAAACCTCTGCAGCTTCTTTTACTCCATCTCTTAAATTCAACCGTCGCCTCCTCCTCCCTCCTCCACCACTTCAATCTCTTCCGTCCGTCTCCACCGCCTCCATCTCCTCTTTCCTACCGTTGCATCTCAAACAATTTCACTGCCATCCGATTCTCCCTCTGACCACGACCGTATTACGCCACCTCTACGTCTCCGCCGGTGAGGTTTCCTCCCCTTTCCTCCCCTGTACCACCCTGAAATTATCCCTACTTGTGGCATAACCCTATAACCCCGCTACCTAGATTGACATTCTTCCCGATTCGACTCCCACTTTCTCTTCCTCCTTATTAACAAATACGGTTTCTCTCGAGCGTTTCCGGTCTCGATTTCCCATGGAAGGAGTATGTTTTCCAGGTTTGCACTTATCATTAACGGCCTTATTTCATTCTTTCCCCCACTCAAATTCGTTCCCAAAAAGATCTGATTTCTTGATAGACAATGTGAATAATTCTGTATAGCTAGATACGATACTGTTTTAATCTAAACACGTTTTGTAAAGTCTATAAAGTTATTTGACGACAATCATTGGTTACTCTATGTATTTTGCTCATATTTTCGAATCTTCGGTGTTATTAGAATGTTTTCAAGATTGCCTTGAAGATTCTATTGATCATTTGTTTATGTGTCTTGGAATAGTGTTGACATTTAAATATCTGAAATATAGAAACACAAATGCATTGTTTATGTCAAGAGATACGATTAGTTACTTCTGGCCTACGTGCAGGTTAGCGAGTGATGCTGAAATGGAAAAGAGGAGGGCAGATGAATTTGAGCCTGGACCAGCTTCTCCGTTGAAGCCAGTTGACAGGTTTGGGTTTGTAAAACAGGACCAGAATAACTCCCTAGAAGCTAAAAACAGGCCCACCAATGAAGTGGAGAGGTGTGCTTTGCATCTTTTCATATCTTTATTCACTTGCTTCAATAATTTACTATGGTTAGTAGAGCCAGTTAATCACGATGAAATATAAAACAACTAGCTTTAGATTATCCCTGATTTTGTTTCTCAGCATTTACCTTCTTTTTTGGGATGAGGACTATACAGGGAATTAATAGCTAATTGTTTGGTTTATGTACAAGTATTTTAATGTATTAAGAGGTTCTAGATTGATTTAAAAAACTTATACTAGAAGCATTCAATACCATCACAGTGCTGTAGGGTTTAATGATCTAGGATGCTAGATGGAAGGGTTCGCTAAAGATCTTTGTTTTTTTCTATGGATATTATCACTTTTTATTCTACGTAGTTTTTCAAAGATGGAATTTCCCTTGATTTTTCAAAGTTTCTCTTGTACAAAGTTTCCAAAATCCATCCGATCACTTGGCTCTATTGACTCTATTTTTTTTCTTAATTTTTTTTACAGGTTTTTATTTCTTAGGAAAAATTTACCCATTTTCTCTTATGTAGTGCTGGTAGTAGATTCTATTGTATTTATGCAAGCTTTATACATTTTTTCTGCCTCATACGTTAACATTTACTTTATTTTCTTCTTTATGTGTTATTGATGCCAAGATAGTATTATGTTGCTCATTACATGCTGTTAGTACCATTTTTTTGTAAAATTGGACCTTGCCCATTGGTTACTGAAGTTTTATATTACTTTGTATTGTGCTGCATAGCAATATGCACGCTTTATGTTTTGCTTTGTGCATTGCAAATGTGCAGCACTTATGCAGATCAGTCCTTGTATCCATAATCAACATTGTACACTTCATCTACTTGAGAATTTTTGGAATTGTCATTTTAACACAGGAAATTCAGATAGTTCTTTGGAAGCAAATGGTGTTATACCTCATGCAAAGGTTGTTGTACAGCACAGTTAACTGCCTAATCACAATCAACGCCAAAGTGGCTTTATGAGTTTGAGCATAACTTCTATTGGACTTTGCTAATTGATGATTTGGCATGTATTGCCATCTACTCTATTTTAATCATCTCTTTTATAACCTAGCATCTTTTTTTTTTCTTTTGGGTCCGTGAGATTAAGCACATTCTTAAATAGAATCTCAATTAGGTTTGAAAGTTAACTTAAGCACATTCTTATATGATTTGTCTTTGTTAGTAACATGAAAGTGTGTCATTCTATTTGCATTTATATAACACTTATATATTTTGGAGGCGGCAATAAACTTTTTTATTCTTTCTTGAATAGAATCTCAGCTTACAAAGTTCTTATCATTTATGCATTCAAGTTGAATTTTTATGAGATTTTAGTATTTTAGGATCCTTCTTTTATTATTTTCTTTCTTTTGATGTGCACATTTACTTGTCTTAGAAATATCCAATCATTGAATAATAATTTTATTTGTAAATTGTACTATTTGTAAATTGTATTGCAAAAAGCTGCTAATCATCTCTATTGAATGCAACAACAACAATAACATCAAACATTTATCCCATTATGTGGGGTCGGCTACATGAATCATTTTTCTCCATTGTGTCCTATTAAAGGTTAAATTCTCTTTTAAATCTAATAAAGAAAGGTCATTCCTAATATTTTCTAATCAAGTCTTTTTAGGCCAGCCTCTATCTTTCTTAACATAAGTTAAATTTAATACCTCTACTATCCTAACCTGGTCATTGGAAGGTCGCCGTTTTATGTGACCAAACCATCTAAGGCAACTCTCTCTCTAATCTTATCTTCTACTGCAGCTACTCCAACCTTTTAACGTATATGCTTATTTCGTATCCTATCTCTAAGGGTAAAGCCACTCATCCACCTGAGCATCCTCATCTCTGCACACTTAACTTAGTATTATGCTTCACTTTTAATGACCAACATTCATCACCATAAAGCATTGCAGGCCTCACTACCATCATATATAATTTTCCCTTAAGTTTGAGGGATACTTTTCTATCACACAAGAAGCCCGATACATTCCTCCACTTCAACCATCCAACTTGAATTCTGCTGATAATATCCCCATCTATTTCACCATCACTCTGAACAATAAATCCAAGATATCTAAAACGTGTACTCTTATTAATGACTTGATCGCCCAAAGCCACAATCCCCTCACTAGGGTTATTACTACTAAAATTACACTCCATATATTCCGTTTTAGATTTGCTCAAGCGAAAACCTTTAGTCTCTAATGTTGACCTCCATAATTCAAGTTTATTTTCAACTCCCTCTCTAATCTTATCAACAAGAAGAATATCATCAGCAAAAAGCATACACCAAGGTACATCCTCTTGCAAATGTCTAGTGAGAACATCCATGACTAAAGCAAAAAGATATGGGCTTAAGGCTGATCCTTGATGTAACCCAACCAAAATAGGGAAATACTTGGTCAAACCACCTTGTGTTTGAACACAAGTAATAGCTCCTGCATACATCTTTAATGATTTGAATATAAGCATTATTAAATTCTTTGTTTTTAAGAACTCTCCAAAGCACTTCTCTTGGAACTTTATCATATGATTTTTCTAAATCAATAAATATCATATGTAGATCCTTCTTATTTTCTCTATAATTCTCCATCAAACCTCTTAATAAATGTATGGCTTCCATAGTCGACCTACCCGGCATGAATCCAAATTGATTTTGAGAAACATTAGTATCACGCCGCAACCTATGCTCCATAACTCGCTCCCATAGTTTTAAAGTATGACACATTAACTTAATTCCTCTATAATTCGCACAATCTTGTGCATCACCTTTATTTTTAAAAATAGGAATTAACACACTCTTTCTCCACTCATCCGGCATCTTTTTAGTCTTCAAAATAGCATTAAAAAGTTTAGTAAACCAAGAAATTCCTTCATCTCCTAAGCATTTCCACAACTCTATTGGAATATCATCAGGTCCAACTGCTTTTTCACCCTTCATTTTCATTAAAGCCTCTCTAACTTCAGTTTTACTAATACGCCAATAAAAACAGAAATCTTTATTTTCATTTAGGGTGCTAAGGTCACTATTGTCAATCTTATTTTCACAATTTTCATTAAAAAGTTCAGCAAAATATCTCATCCACCTTTGTTAAATATCATCTTTTAATAAAAGTATTTTGATCTTCATCCTTAATACACTTCACTTGAACTAAATCCTTACTACTCCTAGCTCTTTGTTTGGCTAACTTATACATATATCTTTCTCCCTCCTTAGTATCTAATATATTATATACATAGTATCTAATCATCTCTATTGAATCTGCTATCAAAAATCTGACATTCTCTGATTTATGATAAGAGAAGTTCCATTAGGAAAATTACTCATTTTACTTAAATCAAGCAGTTTGTGTTATATTTCCTCAAAGAGAGGAGCGGAAATATTGATTATGTGAAATTTTCATTTATCTCATAATTATTAGATTTTTAGATAACTTAAAGTGTTATTTAAAGAAATAATCAAACAATTGAAAGTTCAAACTCACCCAAGTATTTATTGCTGAAGGGTTATTTAAAGAAAACAAACAATTGAAAGTTCAAACTCCCCCTATGTTTTTATTACTCAATAATCCTTATGTAAATAATAATTCATATACAAATTCCTTATTAGTGCAATTACATAAAGAAAATTCATCAATTTTGATCATCATTGCTAAATTGAAGATTCCCCTTTTTTTTTTGAGGAAAAAAAAATGAAGATTCCCTTGGGGTGGTAAGAACTCTCCTTTTAATAAAAGTTGTGTATTCTCTTCAGAAAGTTAGCGCAACAATGCATTCTTTTAGGTATTGTCTGGATGATCTTGAAGTTTGATGATTTCTCCATATTCGTAGAACAGTTTTAGCATTTTTAGATATTACAGTTAGAAGCATTGATGACAGAAAATAGAAACAACCATTGTTCTTATTGCAAGAACGATCTATTTCTATTCTTTATGCAGTATTCTCAGAAAGAGGTTTAGCAGAACTCTTGAAGTTGCCAGCCAAAATGATGGATGAGTAGCTTCAAAGAAAAAGAAAGCTTCTGCTGTTGCCTTTCTTTCTGTTCTTTTTATTTATATTACTAGTTCAAATCCTTAGCAGGAATACACCTCCGTTTGAGTGTGACGGAACGGTGTATGGTTCTTGAAATTAATGCCAACGTCTGTACTTATTTGCATTTGATGGGTATCAGTTTAGTTAAGACTGGTAGTTTCTTGAGGAAATTTAGGAAAAGGGATAAATATAAATTTTAAATTAAATTTATATTTTGATGGGTTTGTTGAGGAACATAAGGATATTGCGGAGAATTTCTAGGATATGAATTGGCGTATTATATAGTGGTGGTTGTAGATCTAAATTTGAATTCATGTGTTGAATTTAAAATAAAAGAAAATTGATTTGAATTTGTAATTGGGATTTGGTTTGATTTTCAATTCAAAAATTGATTTGATTTATAAGTTTATATGTGAGTTGAATTAAAAGGTGAAATATAAATGTCAGATTACAAGTATTTGTTGCAGGAAATTTTGAGGTGAGATTAGCACGTATGATTAAGAAAATAGTAATTTCAACAAGTACAAATCCTTGTCATAAATTCTGCAAAATAATGATATCTCATTTGTAGCAAAGTTTTCTATAAACAATTTAGTAATAAAATTTTGCGGAGATGGGAGTAGAAGCTAGAAATGATGGGTTTGATAGATGTTGACTAGCAATGGGTGAAGGAAAAAATGGAAATGATGAACCTATAAGTGTAGGCGTCAAAACTTCATGTCGGGCTCTTCTAAGAGAATTCTATTATGGGTTAAATTTTCAAAAAGCAATTTGGGTTACAGATAAGTCACTACTTAGGGATTTCACTCTCATTTTATGACAACTTTTTAATTTAGTTCTAGGTTTCTTATAGGCGCATGATTGTATAGTTAATTATCCCTCCTAGTCATGAGAGAAAACTTTCAATTAAGGCTAGTCATTAAGCACTAAGTAAACTAAGTAATTAAGTTAGAGAAGCA